TGATTATGGCCCCTATTGTGTTTTTTCCATAATCTTTCACTAGAGATGGCACATCTATAGGCACATATGATGTCGGGACGTTGAAAGTTATCTTCTTGCTTATATTGACAAATACGAAGAATTTTCATCTTGTACTTTCAGTGTCTGTATTCTAGTCCACACCGTTCCACTAAATCGTTTGCCCGATTTGAAAGGCTTCTATAGTTTGATGCATTTTTGTATACTATAGATGTCAAGAAATGAAAAGCTTCGTTTAAACATAGTCAAAAGGAAAAAAGAGGATGAAGTCATAAAACAAAGGTATAATCAAATTTCAGATTTATACGGTTCTATTTCATCAGTATCGAGAAATCCAAAATTTGGTTTTTGCGGGAGGGAGTTTTATTTTTACATTGACTCTTTATCTTCTTGCTTTCTCTCATTTTTTTAATTGTGGACGGCGCATGCAATCAAATGGTTATTTTTGTGGTTTTGCAGAAATCTGGAATCTCAAACTCATTTAGTTTCGAAGTTTTATGCTGTTGTCCAGATTTTCTATGATATGCTAGTTGACTGCTTATCTAACTAATTTTCTATGTCAACACCTATTTCTTCTGCAAGTGTAATGTAGGCGCTTTTTAGGTGTTTGTTGACCATGAACTTTGGCGTCATGTAGTCTCGTATATTAGAAAAACATCATATATTTTTATTTTAATTTGCTTGGTTGCTCTAAAGCATATCGTTTATTGATTTGCAGATTTGTTATGCTTAACTGCTCTGAGGGATGTTAATTTTGTGAGAACTAAGCATGAGAAGAGCTGGCATGTTTGATTTTCAAAAACATACTCTTCAATATCCAAGAAACATTTCCATTTCTGGTAATGATGGAACATGGTTTAGCATGATTTATCTCTGAAAGGTAACAATCTAGCCCTTTATAATGAGTCATGTTACTTGCATTGCGCCGTGGATTGGTCAAGTTAGTAGATTACTATATTCGGTAAACTTCCATACGTGCATTTTCTTTTTATAATCAAGTTATAAAGCATGCATCTGTCATATTAGCAGCCAAGCCCTTCTATTTGTGTAGCTACCTTTCTCCCTGAAGCCAATTTTCTATTTCTTCGTTGAGGACTCGTATATGTTTGTGGCACCCTGGTTAAAAGGTCCTCGATCCATGTCTTTACAATGTTTACATGATGAGTTACACATGCCTTAATATTTTCTATGTTTTTGAGACATTGATTTGAAATGATTTGTGCAGAAACCCGTGTAATTTTGAGAAGTAGAAAGTGGATGGGTACTTGAGCGAGTGATAATTGAATTGATGCATAGAATGCCGTGAATGTTTCTGAGGAGGATAGAAAGGCATTCATGTACTTTAAATCAATGAACTAATTCCATATTTTGGTGGCAGACAAAAGATTATCTCTTATATAAATGTCACGGTGAAGAATCAAATTGTAGAATGGAATGTTTACGATGCTTTTTCTTATTTTGCTGTAATTTGCTTCTCCTGATAATAAATTTGATGCTGTCGAGTCAAATTGTGTCATTGTTTGGCGGATCTAGAGATATGAGATCTTTAGTGTTGAGTGGACAATTCATCCTCATGATTTTTATACTTCCAAAAATTTATGTCTTTATAATTGATTACACGAAGAGGAGTATGCTAGGGAATGGCTACAATAGAAAGAATCGAACTAATTCTGAACTGCCCATTGAAGTAATAGAAAAGACTTGCCTTCACTTGCCTTACAACAAAAGACGATTTCTGAGCTTTGGAAATGAAAGAAATCTTTCATTTTCCTTTGTTAATTGTCTTGTATTTTCTACAAATCTGCATGGAATATATGGGTATCGATTATCAGCCTTTGAAATAATCACTGAATCCTAATTCTCTTGCATGATACAAATGTATAGCTGACGCCGATAATATTGGAGTGACAAACCACTATGTAACCCGAACATTTTATATGAAGCTGTATGCATCTGAATGAGCCAGAAGGCTGGCTCCAAGAGGACTATTATACCACACAGGTGTAGGCCATATGGAAGACACTAGTTAGATTGAATGAAAAGGATCACACAGGTGAACCAGGGAGAAGTTTGTGGTAGATATTTTGAAATAAATACATGCTTTGTCCAGAGTATTGATTTTTTTATATATTATTATTATGTTCTGTTCGCTCACAGTTTTTGACATTTGATTACACAAAGAGCTAGTGTTTCACTGTTTTGTGCTTGACCTAAAATCGTTTTGACTATTGGTGTAAAAATTTGTTGCCGAAGTACTTTTTTTTGTTAGGAAGAAATGACTGAAAATATAATGCTTCATAGCATGGAACAAAGAATACGACCACTTAGATAAAAGTAGAACTTTTCAAACATTGAGTAGATTCGAACTTTAAAGAGAGGATAGTGCTCCCTTTTCCTGAATCTATTACAACACATGGTATGATTCCATAGATTTAGTTTTTTGAGCTCGCTGTGCTTTTTTTTACTCTTCTATTGCTGCACCTGAATAATTACACTCTTAAACTATCATTTATCCAGAACTTCTGTTTTTTGTTTTGTTTGTTCATGTTTTGATGTGTGACATCTACATCAATTTAGTTCTCAAACTTAGCACTTCCATAAATTTTCCGTGCATAATAAGATGAAACCAATTTTTCTCTAGATATCAAGAAGACGGTATTCTTAGCTGCTGAAACTATTCTCCAGAGGAGGTCTACCTTTAAAAATGCCTTCTCTTCAGCTTCTACAGTTAACTGAACGTGGTCGGGGCCTTTTGGCCTCGAGGAGGTAAATAATATTAACTCTGTGATATTATTTATGTAAATCTCTTTCCCCTTTTGGAGCTGATTAGTTGCTACTATTATTACTGAATACGAGCATCTGATTGATTTGAAAGAAATAAATTAAGAGAGTTCTCTAATCAGCACATTAAGGGTTTATATTCTTTGGATGGTTAAACGATCATTGCTATCACTGAAACTTAAATCAATCTTGGACACATGATCATTGGAGAAGCTGATTAACACACTTCTCCATTAGTGAAACTGAAACCAATCTTGGACACATGATCATAGGAGAAGCTGATTGACACACTTCTCAATTTATTAATGTGTATTCTATATCTACAGGTGAAACTCATCTCTAATGGTAAATCTGCTGATACCAGTCCTGCTGCAAACTTGTTACCTAGTCTGATATAAGGCCTCTTAAGAACATTTTGTTATGTTTGTTATATTCTCTGCAAATGCTTCCATTGTATATAAGTATTCTCAATAATAAAGTACAATAGCTGATGGTTTTAGTTCGTTTACTCCTAACCTTGATTAGCACGTTTCTTTACAAGGAAGGTAGAAATGAAAGCACCACGATGACCTTTCATTAGATGTCCATTCAGCCCCAACATGGAACAAAATATAATATAATAGATATATTATATTAGAAAAGAGCAAAAGGACGCCAATTAGAAAAAGAAACAAGCAAGAGATCACTATGGAAGAGGTGCCAAACTTTCTTTCAACATGTAGTTTACATTTTCAGAAATAGCTATTCATTTAAAAAATTAAAAATCTCCTCATCTAATTACATCTGTCAATGAGACTTGGTTTCTTACTCTCCTTGAAGATCGAGGATGGACCTCCATAATGACTGCAGCTCGAAACTCTTCTGGCAATATGTTTTGATGTTGATTTTGGTTTGCAATTTCCAATACCTCCCCCCATATGAAGTGGCAGTATCATAAGGGCTTTTTTTTTTCCTGTCAGGAAAACACTACTTCTTGCAACTGGCATCATTGTTGCCGGTGGAACTGCTGCTGCATACATGCAATCACGAAATAGGTGTAGAAGACAGAATTCTTTGGGTCACTGCAATGGAACCAAAGACAATGAAGAAGAATCAAACAATTTGATTGGAAAGGATAATAACGTAACAAAGAGTAGGAAAAAGAGAGGAAGTTTGAGGTCTCTCCAAGTTTTGGCTGCTATTCTTTTATCTCGTTTGGGTCGAATGGGTGCAATAGATATTTTGTCTTTGGTGGCTATAGCGGTAAGGTTCTTCATTCAAGAAGTCAAGTATGCCTAGCAGCGATTTAAGTTATAATCATTTTTTATTCATGTTCTGTACTTTCTGTAACTAAATCTAACTAAATCTACCATGATTTATGGTCTTTTTTTTTAATTATTCTTTTAATTCAGTAGATTTTGTCTTTCTTTATTCATGAGAATTGTCTTAGTTCATTCCCCGAGTGCTTGATACTGTTAAAATTTTATTGATGTTAAAAAAAAAAAAAAATAATAATGCTTTTTCATGTTTGGATTGTGCCTTAACCTTTTCCTGGGACACATTCGTACATTTATCATCCTAAACTTTCTTTAAGATAAATGGTGCTGTTATTGGTTCAGTTCTGTCTTGATGCTTGCTCTTGTTTTTTGCAGGTTTCACGGACTGCTGTTAGCAACAGATTAGCTAAAGTCCAAGGATTCCTTTTTCGTGCTGCTTTTCTCCGACGTGTACCAGCATTTTTCCGTCTTATTCTTGAAAATATTTTACTTTGTTTCGTCCAGTCAACTTTGCATTCTACCTCAAAATATATAACAGGGACCTTAAGTTTACGGTTCAGGAAAATATTGACGAAGCTTATCCATACACAATATTTTCAGGTAATTGTTAACGCTCTTTTTGCTAGAAGATCACTCCAACTATTATATTAAAATTGTTTTCTTAAGTCTTATTTCACCGGTTTGCAAATCTCATTAGGAAATCTGGAAAAAAATCGTGTCTCTGACATATTATGCTATATATCCCGAGTGAAATTTCCTTCCATGTGATACTCATAAATATATGCTGCACACAGGGTAATTCTAAGTGTTACACCAATGGGTTGTTAATTTTAGGTCTTGTGGAGGGGGTCAAAAGTTGTCTTTAACTTTGCATTTGGTTTGGGAGCATGCCACTACAAAGTAAGCTAAAGTTTAGATTATTAAAGATGTTGCATGTGAAAGAAAATTAAGTTAATGGATAAATTGAAATTGTGGGAGGACTCTTAGCTTGAGACTTATTTGGAAATTGTAGTTGTAATTTAAATAGCAGGATCATGATATTGAGTCTCGCTTTGGAGCTTTCTGAGGGAATCAAACAACAGTTTTAGAGAATCAGTTTAGGTTTGTGAGTTGGATATCAACTATCAAAGCTATTTATTGTCAAGAAGAGTATTGGAGCCTCTAAACATGGAAGTACATATTACTGGCTATGCCCTCGTCTATTATGAAAATGTCTTCTACAAGTCGAAGTCTCACCTGATTTCTGAGGCTTTTAGTCCCTTTGGTCAAGGTAGACATAGGGTGGTGGTGGAAGGGATAACCTTGAATCTTGAGTTTGAGAACAAAAAAAAGTGTCAAAATGGTGTACGTTGATATAATAATGGTTATGTACGTCAGGACTATGGCCGCAATGGGAGCTACTCAAGGAGAGTGCGGTGAGGTTTTGGTTATTGAAGATTGTGCAGGGCCCATTTTCAGATTGTATTTGTTTGTTTTAACTATGGATAAATTGACCAAGGATACCTAGGAGGGGGGACAGTGATGTATTCTTTTATGGATGATGTTGTCATCTTAGTGGATTGGACACGATCGTTTCTAAATTAGATCTGTGGAGAAAGCCTTTTGAAATAGAAAGATTATAACGTAATTAAACTGTAAGATGTGTGCATGGAATGTAATTTTTGAAAATGCTGTACTTGCAGAGAGCTGATGGAGATAGAAAGGCATGAACTACCTGTACATGAATGTTTAGATAATTAACATTCAATTAATCATGGGGAGGGAAATATTGGAGATGATGTTCCTCAAAGAACTTGAACTTTAAACTTTCACGATCGACGATGTCTATAAGATTAAAAAGGGAAATTCTGCAAGACAGCTATGTGAAATTTGATGTTATATATGATCAAATGATGAGCTACTAGAAAACATAGACATATATTGAGTGTGGCTGGGATAAAAATGTTAAGGAGTTGCAGTATTATAGAAGAAAAGAATGTTGTGAGTTGGTTAAGCTGAGCCCTTTGAAGATAGCTGAAACCAATTGAAATGGTTTGGGCACGTCAATGAAAGCGGCTAGATGCACCAATAGAAAAGGTGATAGACCGTTTAGATTGTAAAATTGGAAGAATAGGTTGTCTTAAAATCACACGGAACGAAGTAATTGCAAACAAGTTGAACCTTTGTAATTTTAGATGTTGAAAACAGGATTCATGTAGACGATCCCCAATAACTCTGGTCTTTTATAAGGTGTCCGGGGAAGTGTTTTTGTCATTGACATCAAAATGTCAAAATTTGGTCCCCCCTTTCTCAATGGGTTGGACAGGTAAAAGGATTCATGTAACGTGTATGTTGTGCAAGACAGGAATAGTGTGACATCCGAAGTGTTTCAATAATATAAGATTCACATGTTTATTTTGCTTTATTTGTTTTTTGTTTTTTGTTTTACATGATGTTGTGGAGTTTTTATTCTTGAAATAAATGCTTCAAGGATACTTGATCAGTTGACTTAGATTCGCCCAGCCAGCAGGCAGGCGGCGGATTAGATCAAACAAAGGGGAAATAGGGTCTGTAATAGATGGTGATTTCTTGTGGAAAAGCAATTGATGTGTTATAACAGTTTTGAAGCACCCGGTGACTGGCAATAGCCATTGGTAAAGTGAGTGAAATTATGAAGTATGTTCTGCACTAAAAGCAACAATTTGTTTTTTTAGTGTTCGTACACAAATTTTATTTCATTGGTTTGTTAATATTGGAAGTAAATGCTAAAATGTACTCTTATGGTTCTTCTGGTATTATCTTGGCAAATGTGCATTTGAGTTTGCATACTATTAATGACTTTGTGATCTGTTAATCTATCCATCTATTTTGGACTCTTCCGTGCAAACATTGGTTGGAATCAATTATAGGATGGAAAACTTATTAGATTAAATGCATTCCATTTGGAAATTAAGTTTTATCTCTATCTTACATAATTTTAATTAATAAGGTATAAATTTGGAAGATTCCATCTATGCCCATGAACAAGCTTTTAAGACTCTTAACCTTGCAATGAATATCAAGTATCTCAATTTGTTTTTAGAAAACATGATCCAGCAATGCTTCACTGGCTGGTGCTTCAGTTACACAAGATACATCAACGATACTATGTCTTATTCTTCGTTATCAAGTTAATCGTGCAATCTGCTGTGGCATTGTATAGTTCACTTAGATCTGTGCCCCATGCTTTTGTGTTTACTTTTATTCTTATTTCTGGCGAGATCAGGATTTTGTGTAATTATCCAATGACAATGTAAAGAACAATTAGTTGTACTTGTTTGTTTGATCATACAGATTTACAGCATAATGTAAACATTCAGTTTTCTTTTCCCTTCCCATATCTGACTGATTAACCATCTTTTGATTGCCTGCAATCTTGGTTCACCACTGTTCGTGAACTTGGTAATGAAAACTCTCTTTCAACTGTATTGGTATTTTGATCAATTTTATTAATTGGGTTCCAGAATATGGTATACTACAAGATGTCCCATGTTGATGGTCGGATAACTAACCCTGAGCAACGAATTGCAAGTGATGTACCGAGGTTTTGTTCAGAATTGAGTGACCTTGTACAAGAAGATCTGATTGCTGTTACTGATGGGTTGCTTTATACTTGGCGTCTGTGTTCGTATGCAAGCCCAAAATATGTTTTCTGGATATTGGTAATCCATTCTCTCAAATTGAACCATTTTTCAAATAACAGCTTAGTATTAAATTTTGTCTTATGCTTTTTGAATATAGTCTATAACTTCATTTCTTTCGGACTTTCCGATACTGTAGTTATTATTCTACTAAGAAATTTAAACCTCAATGTATATCAATACTTTCCAGGCCTATGTGTTCGTGGCAGGGACCACAATCAGAAACTTCTCTCCCGCATTTGGGAAACTCATGTCCAAAGAACAACAGCTGGAAGGGGAGTACAGACAGTTGCATTCACGATTAAGGACCCATGCAGAAAGTATAGCATTTTATGGAGGTGAAACTAGAGAAGATTTTCACATTCAGCAGAAGTTTAAGAGTCTTGTGCGGCATATGAGGGTTGTTCTTCATGACCATTGGTGGTTTGGCATGATTCAAGACTTTTTGCTGAAGTATCTTGGTGCTACTGTTGCTGTTATCCTGATAATAGAGCCCTTTTTCTCTGGCAACTTAAGGCCTGATTCTTCAACCTTAGGACGTGCAGAGATGTTGAGTAATTTAAGATATCATACGAGTGTTATAATATCATTGTTCCAGTCCTTGGGAACTCTTTCTATAAGTTCAAGACGGCTCAATCGCCTGAGGTATTACTTCAGTTGCTTGTGAGACTATCAGACTGTTGCACTTATTAAGTTGAAAATCCATAGGATTTATTAATTGAAGCTTATTGTCTGCCTTCCATTCAATAACTATGCATGCAATATATATAATATTCTTTCTAGAAGAAGAAAATTGTATCTGAAGTAAATTAGTTGCATTAACAAGAAATCTGACAATTACTTGTCTCTCAATCAGAGGGCAATCATTTTGAGGTTCTATTTTATGTTTAGGTAATTTGTCCCCAGGAAAAACTCTCTCAGGGAACATTTATGTTAGGGCTTAAGGTGATAAGCTTCAAATTTTCTATGCAGATGAGCATTTATATATTTGTTTTTTGCTGGGATGGGTGAGAGATTGACTTTTGCAATGGCATTGGATGTCATTGATATATTTGGAGAGAGATGCCAGAACCAGAGTCTTCCCTCACATTTGTTGTGGGAAAGAGTCGTTATGGCCGCCTTCTGGACAATTGTGGTTGGATAGTTCTGTAATTTTATTACTAGGTATTTTTTCATTATTTCTTGTATGGTAAGAAGATAATGATACAATTTGCTTCAGCATTTTGATAATCAGCTCTGGTATATTCATGTGTGTACCGTTGCTTATATGGCTTGCTTGGCATTGGTAGTTAGAGTTCATATCTCTGTATATATCATTTTACCTAAACTGACTCTTCCAATTTGCAGTGGCTATGCTGATCGTATTCATGAACTCATGGGAATATCGAGAGAGCTTGGTGTACGCGATGCATCTTCTGTGAAGACTGATGGGAGCAGGAATTATGTTAGTGAAGCAAATTACATCGAGTTTGATGGTGTCAAGGTAGTTAAAGAAATGTTGACTTCTACTAGCTCCGTTATTCTCTTCCTTTCCATTGTCCTTATAGCATATTGGACTTTCAGGTTGTTACTCCAACTGGCAATGTATTGGTAGAGGATCTGACTCTGCGGGTTGAAGTAGGTTCTAATCTGTTGATTACAGGTACTCTCTTTAGATTAAGCTGTTTATTTCTTTGCATGATTATTCAATTAATTGGTTACATATCCTTATGGTTCACCGAGTTGGATTTTGATTTTGAAGAAGAAAGGAGCTCTATGTCTATGATTGTGAATAAATACAAAACATCCCTTTCTAATGTCTAATGGAGTGTATGAAGTGTCTTTAGTATCAGTATAAGCAACTGGCTGCGTATCAGTTTTCTGGAACAGTGCTCGTGTATAACTTTCTGACCGTAACACTTACCCATTTAAGGTCCAAATGGAAGTGGGAAAAGCTCTCTTTTTCGAGTTTTGGGAGGTCTTTGGCCGCTGGTATCTGGCCATATTGTGAAACCTGGAATTGGTTCTGATCTAAATAAGGAAATCTTTTATGTGCCACAACGGCCATATACAGCAGTGGGAACTCTGCGCGACCAGTTGATATATCCTCTTACTGCAGATCAAGAGGTCGAACCTCTTTCAAAAAGTGAAATGGTTGAGCTGTTAAAAAATGTAAGAAATTCTTTCGTTTAATTGCTTTAGGTCTTATGTTATTGTGTTGGTGAAGCTCAATAACTTCTTTGTATCAGGTCGATCTTGAATATCTCCTGGACCGTTACCCTCCTGAAAAGGAGGTGAATTGGGGTGACGAATTATCGCTAGGCGAGCAACAAAGATTGGGAATGGCTCGTCTCTTCTACCACAAACCCAAATTTGCTATCCTGGATGAATGCACAAGCGCTGTGACGACTGCTATGGAGGAACGTTTTTGTGCTAAAGTTCTAGCAATGGGTACATCATGTATCACTATCTCTCACCGTCCTGCGTTAGTTGCATTTCATGATGTGGTACTATCCCTGGATGGTGAAGGAGGCTGGAGTGTTCATTATAAGAGGTAGAGAACTTTGAAGTTGGGACTTAGTCCTGGTCATTAATCCTGTGTATGCAAATGCTTATTTACTAACTACTTTGTAAAATCTGTAGAGCGGATTCTCCAGCTATTACAGAATCTGAAAACAGTAAAAGGAGAAATTTGGAGACGGACCGCCAAAGTGATGCGATGGCTGTCCAACTTGCATTTGCTAATACAAAAAAGGCATATAAACCTTGCACTCGATTTGTAATTTATATTTAACATTTTTGATATAGATACATCCTCATGTTGCTTAAACTTTCTTTGTAATATCGCACTAGGATTCGGCATTTTCAGCTTCCAAGGGGCAATCATATTCTTCGGAGTTAATAGCAACATCTCCTACCGACGATGATGAATATCCTTTGCCTGTCTTTCCACAATTGCAAAGTGCTCCACGGCTATTGCCTTTGCGTGTAGCTGCCATGTTTAAAATACTGGCAAGTGATCTTTACCACTTAAAAACTATTTCTGGTGTCTAGGGCTCGAAACTTCTTATTGTTACTTGTAGTTTTTAGCGGTCTGTGCTTCTTAAATACTCTGGAAGTGTTTCTGAGGAGTTGCTTACTTTCAACATGTTTTCCTTTGATTAGTACTTTTGGGCCTTCCTAGTCATCTTTACTCTTCGTTGTTTCCAAGTAATCACATGATTATTGTGCCTTAATGCATCTGTATTCTAAATGTTACAAATGCACTATCAAGTGTAGAACAGATATCTTAGACCCCAACTAATTGAGTACTAAAATAGAGGAGGGTGGGGAGATACCAAACCGTCAGAACTTAGAAGCATGTTATAATTTATACCTCTACATATACTAAGCTATTTGATTTGTTTCGAAGAAGGTAAGGGAAGGCATCAACACCTGGTTACATTTCCTCCAACTAACGGAAAAATATGGATTTTCAGAATTTAATTTTTCTTATTATGAAGTATGATACTACCCAATGTTGTTGCTTATCTTTTGGTGATTGTTTTAGGTTCCTACTGTGCTTGATAAACAGGGAGCTCAACTCCTTGCAGTAGCCATACTTGTTTTGTCCAGAACCTGGATCTCAGACCGCATTGCCTCGTTAAATGGTACCTTTTTGCTTATGTTTTGTTCTGCTGTCATTCTGAATCATGTTTTCGTCGTTTCTAATTATTGATTTCCTCAGGGACCACCGTTAAGTTTGTTCTGGAGCAAGATAAAGCAGCCTTTATTCGGTTGATTGGTATTAGTGTTCTCCAAAGTGCTGCATCCTCCTTCGTTGCACCCTCTTTGAGGTAGTTCAGTATCTCCATAAGATTTTCAATAAAGAATTTTAGGTATTACCTGACTTGTTATTTGCGCAATGAACTAATCAAATATCAAAATATATTAATTAGTGAAGCATATACCTTACTGAATAAGATTTAAAATTGTTTTGAGATATGAATTTGAGCAGACTTGTTTGTTCATGTTGTATTGAAGCTTTGGAACTGGAATATAGAAGCTTTGGGATTTGAATGGTCTTTTCTGAATTCCAACTTCTTAAATGCAAACAAACATAATCTCAGACTCTGATTGGTGTTATTTTGTTTCTTTGGCACTATTTTATCTTAATTTGCTAATTATCCATCTTTTAACTTATTATGACCAACCAGTAATCCAGTGTTGCATAGAAAGTTTTCAGTTATACTTTAAAGTGGAATATAGTTGCTTTCTTTCTCCTCCCTGGACTGCTTAGATTTAAATTTCCACAACTGAAGTTTCATGTGTATTAGTTATGTCTGATGCTGAAGCATCTCATTTCTACCTTTATGCCAAATCTTTGGCATAATAATTGCTCTTGTTTACAGGCACCTTACAGCTTTGCTTGCACTTGGATGGAGGATTCGTCTGACCAAGCACTTGCTGAAAAACTACTTAAGAAATAATGCATACTATAAGGTACTTACATCCTACAAATTTGATGTCTACATATTTTTCTTGCTTCACCCAATATTGAATTTGAACTACATTTGACAAGAACTTCTGGTTTTTCCACATTATCATATTCCAGATTTTTTGTCTAATAACTCCCATGCTTACTCGTGCCTTTATTTAATTTACTTGTATCCTGCTTGGGGTGTAGCTTCAATTAATTCCATCCTGGCTAAGTTTTTATTCCGAGTGAAAATTCACACTCACACTCTGATTTTGTGCCTCTAATATTGGATTAACCCTTTGAACTACAGCTCAACAACTTAACAAAGCCTCATCCCATTCTTATCTGGGATAAGCTTGATGTCTTCTTGATGTTCTTGTATAAAAATTTAAAGCAGTGAAATAAATATTTGTTTGCTAGTCAATACTGCTTTGAGAGATTGTGTATGAAGTACCTTTTAAAAAAAAAACAAAAAGATTGTGTATGAAGTGGTAAAGTGCTTGATCTATTAACTTTTGAGGATGTGGGTTTAAATCTCAGAATAGTCATCATGAAGACAATGCCAAATGAGACATTGATATTTTGTAGGTTTTTAACATGACATGCCAAAATGTTGATGCGGACCAGAGACTGACTCAAGACTTGGAGAAGTTAACCACTGACTTGTCTGGCCTGGTTACTGGGATGGTAAAGCCAACTGTCGATATTTTATGGTAAGCATGAATTGCATTGATGATCTATTAGTATTTTTGAATTTAAATTCAAGATCTTGAAGAAATGTACGCTGCTTTTCAGGTTCACCTGGAGAATGAAGCTTTTAACTGGTAGAAGGGGAGTTGCTATTTTGTATGCTTACATGTTACTAGGTTTGGGTTTTCTAAGGAGTGTCACTCCTGACTTTGGTGATCTGGCAAGTCGAGAGCAACAACTAGAAGGAACTTTTAGGTTATTTTACATTTGGAGTGTTTTTTTGTTGAAATATATGTTACCATAAACATTAGCCTGCCTGACATTTTGTTCATTTATTAGGTACATGCATGAAAGATTACGTACGCATGCGGAATCTGTTGCCTTTTTTGGTGGTGGTGCCAGAGAGAAAGAGGCTAGTCTCATTATCCCTTTGTATCTCCTGCTTTAAATTGTAATAGTGAATGGTCTCTTTCAAAATTACTTGTTCATATTTTAAACCATAATGGTTAAGCCCAATTGTTCACTGAAAATCTATTCAAAGTCAAAGGTTGTTTTCTAATCATTATAAATGCTGTCACCACCTACCTATTGGTCTTCACGTCGGAAGTCAAAATGGTAAATATCTGAAGCCGTAATAAATATTAAGGACCTGTTTGGTCCCCATTTTTTAGGGTAAATTGTATTATGGAAATATTGATTTTTGGAGAATGTGTGGTTAAAAAGTAAGGTAAATTTTTTGAAATACGTGTATAATTATTTTATATGAGAATGAATGGCTGAAAATGAGTTTTAAAAAAATGCATTCTTGAAAAAATGGGGATCAAACACAGGCTAAATGAAATCCAGCAGTAACATAAGAACTTGAATGAGGAGGAATATACTCGCAGTTGGATCACTGGAATTTGATAGGAGTAGTAATTTCAGGAACTTGTGCTTAAGCATAGCAGGTATAGATAGAATTAGTTGCAGTGGAAGTGCAACGTTACAATAATAATGACCAGGAACTCTTGAGAATGATTGAAATTAGTACAGGTTGTTTGTAAGGCAAGAAACTGATTCAGTTATGGAACCACGAACTTCTTGCCAATCATCTTTTTAAAGATAACGAATGTTTGCTTATATTCTATAAGCCTGGATGAAGACCTCACTAGTATTATTCTCTCCCAATTTTCCTCATAAAATTTTGTTATTGCTTGTGAAATTGTAAGTTTAGCAGTTTGTGGGCACGTTTGATCGAATCAACCGTCCAGACATGAGGAGTAAAAGGCCATAAATATCACATCTCACATCTCACTATTCTGATGCGTTACTCAGTTTTTGACAACTGCTTGTTATTTTTAGCTAGCTTCTCCTGCTCTGCCTGTCTTTATCATGCTTGTCCTGCTCATGTTTTGAATCTAACCAATCCTACTTGTACTGTCCAGATGATTGAATCCAGGTATACAGAACTTTTTAATCACTCTATGTTTCTTCTTAAGAAAAAATGGTTATTCGGCATACTAGATGACTTCGTGACGAAGCAACTTCCACACAATGTTACTTGGGGATTAAGCTTATTGTATGCCATGGAACACAAAGGGGATCGAGCCATGACTTCAACTCAAGGTGAGAGCACTCCATTAACAATTTTTATTTTCCCTTTTCTTACTAACACTCATCATATAAACTTTACATTTACACTGCTTTCGTATTCAGGTGAATTGGCACATGCTCTGCGATTCTTAGCATCTGTCGTATCTCAAAGCTTTTTGGCATTCGGTGACATTCTTGAGCTACATAGGAAGTTCCTGGAGCTTTCCGGTGGTGTCAATCGAATTTTTGAGCTTGAAGAGCTTCTGAATGCTGCTCAACTTCATCTTTACTCTTCGTTGTTTCCAGTTAAGTAATCATATGATTATTGTGCCTTAATGCATCTGTATTCTAAATGTTACAAATGCACTATCAAGTGTAGAACAGATATGTTAGACCCCAACTAATTGAGTACTAAAATAGAGGAGGGTGGGGAGATACCAAACCGTTAGAACTTAGAAGCATGTTATAATTTATACCTCTACATATACTAAGCTGTTTGATTTGTTTCGAAGAAGGTAAGGGAAGGCATCAACTCCTGGCTACATTTCCTCCAACTAACGGAAAAATATGGAGGATTTTCAGAATTTATTTTTTCTTATTATGAAGTATGATACTACCCAACGTTGTTGCTTATCTTTTGGTGATTGTTTTAGGTTCCTACTGTGCTTGACAAACAGGGAGCTCAACTCCTTGCAGTAGCCATACTTGTTTTGTCCAGAACCTGGATCTCAGACCGCATTGCCTCGTTAAATGGTACCTTTTTGCTTATGTTTTGTTCTTCTGTTATTCTGAATCATGTTTTCGTCGTTTCTAAATATTGATTTCCTCAGGGACCACCGTTAAGTTTGTTCTGGAGCAAGATAAAGCAGCCTTCATTCGGTTGATTGGTATTAGTGTTCTCCAAAGTGCTGCATCCTCCTTTGTCGCACCCTCTTTGAGGTAGTTCAGTATCTCCATAAGATTTTCAATAAAGAATTTTAGGTATTACCTGACTTATTATTTGCGCAATGAACTAACCAAATATCAAAATTTATTAATGGGTGAAGCATATACCTTACTGAGTAAGATTTAAAATTGTTTTGAGATATGAATTTGAGCAGACTTGTTTGTTCATGTTGTATTGAAGCTTGGAACTGGAATATAGAAGCTTTGGGATTTGAATGGTCTTTTCTGAATTCCAACTTCTTAAATGCAAACAAACATAATCTCAGACTGTGATTGGTGTTATTTTGTTTCTTTGGCACTATTTTATCTTAATTTGCTAATTATCCATCTTTCAACTTATTACGACCAACCAGTAATCCAGTATTACATAGAAAGTTCTCAGTTGTACTTTAAAGTGGAATATAGTTGCTTTCTTTCTCTTCCCTGGTCTGCCTAGATTTAAATTTCCACAACTTAAGTTTCCTGTGTATTAGTTATGTCTGATGCTGAAGCATCTCATTTCTACCTTTATGCCAAATCTTTGGCATCATAATTGCTCTTGTTTACAGGCACCTTACAGCTTTGCTTGCACTTGGATGGAGGATTCGTCTGACCAAGCACTTGCTAAAAAACTACTTAAGAAATAGTGCATACTATAAGGTACTTACATCCTACAAATTTGATGTCTACATAATTTTCTTGCCTCACCCAATATTGAATTTGAACTACATTTGACAAAAACTTCTGGTTTTTCCACATTATCATATTCCAGATTTTTTGTCTAATAACTCCCATGCTTACTCATGCCTTTATTTAATTTACCTGTATCCTTCTTGGGGTGTAGCTCCAATTAATTCCATCCTGGCTAAGTTTTTATTCCGAGTGAAAATTCACTCTCACACTCTGATTTTGTGCCTCTAATATTAGATTAACCCTTTGAACTACAGCTCAACAACTTAACAAAGCCTCATCCCATTCTTATCTGGGATCAGCTTGATGTCTTCTTGATGTTCTTGTATAAAAAAATTAAAGCAGTGAAATAAATATTTGTATGCTAGTCAATACTGCTTTGAGAGATTGTGTATGTATTGGTAAAGTGCTTGATCTATTAATTTTTGAGGATGTGGGTTTAAATCTCAGAATAGTCATCATGAAGACAATGCCAAATGAGACATTGATATTTTGTAGGTTTTTAACATGACACGCCAAAATGTTGATGCGGACCAGAGACTGACTCAAGACTTGGAGAAGTTGACCACTGACTTGTCTGGCCTGGTTACTGGGATGGTAAAGCCAACTGTCGATATTTTATGGTAAGCATGAATTGCATTGATGATCTATTAGTATTTTTGAATTTAAATTCAAGATCTTGACGAAATGCACACTGCTTTTCAGGTTCACCTGGAGAATGAAGCTGTTAACTGGTAGAAGGGGAGTTGCTATTTTGTATGCTTACATGTTACTAGGTTTGGGTTTTCTAAGGAGTGTCACTCCTGACTTTGGTGATCTGGCAAGTCGTGAGCAACAACTAGAAGGAACTTTTAGGTTATTTTACATTTGGAATGAATTTTTTGTTGAATTATATGTTACCATAAACATTAGCCTGCCTGACATTTTGTTCATTTATTAGGTACATGCATGAAAGATTACGTACGCATGCTGAATCTGTTGCCTTTTTTGGTGGTGGTGCCAGAGAGAAAGAGGCTAGTCTCATTATCCCTTTGTATCTCCTGCTTTAAATTGTAATATTGAATGGTCTCTTTCAAGATTACTTGTTCATAATTTAAACCATAATGGTTAAGCCCAATTGTTCACTGAAAATCTATTCAAAGTCAAAGGTTGTTTTCTAATCATTATAAATGCTGTCACCACCTACCTATTGGTCTTCACGTTGGAAGTCAAAATGGTAAATATTTGAAGCTGTAATAAATATGAAGGACCTGTTTGATCCCCATTTTTAGGGTAAATTGTATTATGGAATATTGATTTTTTGGAGAATGTGTGGTTAAAAAGTAAGGTAAAGTTTTTGAAATACGTGTATAATTATTTTATATGAGAATGAGTGGCTGAAAATGAGTTTTGAAAAAATGCATTCTTGAAAAAATGGGGATCAAACACAGGCTAAATGAAATCCAGCAGTAACACAAGAACTTGAATGAGGAGGAATATACTTGCAGTTGGATCACTGGAATTTGATAGGAGTAGTAATTTCAGGAACTTGTGCTTAAGCATAGCAGGTATAGATAGAATTAGATGCAGTGGAAGTGCAACGTTACAATAATAATGACCAGGAACTGTTGAGAATGATTGAAATTAGTGCAGGTTGTTTGTAAGGACTAAGGCAAGAAACTGATTTAGTTATGGAACCACGAACTTCTTGCCAATCATCTTTTTCAAGATACCGAATGTTAGCTTATATTCTATAAGCCTGCATGAAGACCTCACTAGTATTATTATTTCTCTCCCAATTTTCCTCATAAAATTCTGTTATTGCTTGTGAAATTGTAAGTTTAGCAGTTTGTGGGCACGTTTGATCGAATCAACTGTCCAGACATGAAGAGTAAAAGGCCATAAATATCACATCTTACACTCACTATTCTGATGTGTTACTCAGTTTTTGACAACCGCTTGCTATTTTTAGCTAGCTTCTCCTGCTCTGCCTGTCTTTATCATGCTTGTCCTGCTCATGTTTTGAATCTAACCAATCCTACTTGTACTGTCCAGATGATTGAATCCAGGTATACAGAACTTTTTAATCACTCTATATTTCTTCTTAAGAAGAAATGGTTATTCGGCATACTAGATGACTTCGTGACAAAGCAACTTCCACACAATGTTACTTGGGGATTAAGCTTATTGTATGCCATGGAACACAAAGGGGATCGAGCCATGTCTTCAACTCAAGGTGAGAGCACTCCATTAACGATTTTTATTTTCCCTTTTCTTACTAAC